AAGAACTCAAGTTTTGCTTCATCAGCCACAGTGTCCCAAAAGTTCTGTGGGTTTTACAGTCTGGGTTCAGCATACTGGAAGCAACTTTTCTTGTGGCTTGGCTTCAGCAGCGGTGTGCGTCTTGGGGCTCTGGTATTGAACCCTTCAGCATGAAGTGTGCAGCATGCTGTACCGCCTGAAACATCACTTCTCCCTCCAGCCAAGTTGTGTCTCAGGTCCTTTGCAGTAAGCCTGGAGGTTTTGTCCACCTGTTTTCTCAGGAATCTTGCTGTAGCTGATGAAATATTCTTCTTTCGTCCATGACCTCCCTGTGTGGCCACAGTACCAGATGCCTTGAACTTGCGAATAATGCTCCAAATGGTGTCTCTGGGAACATTTAGAACTTGGATATCCTCTTATATCTATTACCTTAATTGTGTAATGCTACTATCTCCTATTTAAACCTCTGGGACAACTCTCTTGCCTTCACCACTTTGCCAGCAAGAGGCATGTGAGCAGTAATGACACAAAGCGTGTAATACTACACATTTGGTGGAAAATTACACGATAATACAAATACTATGGACATGCACATCTTACCTCATTGCATTACTAGTGTTTTTGGACGTGGCATGTTAGTTGTGATTCTCCATAATCAACCCTAGCTGATGAGTTGTATAGGGGTTGAATAATTTTGCCACTTGCTTTTTGTATTAAAGTTGCCATTTCAGATGAACTATGAAATAATATTGACTTTTTCTCTGATATTAAATTGTAATTAACTATATGTTAATCACTTATATGAGTTAGGCATGTTCTACAGTTGTAATTTTCCTTATTTTGACAAAATTCCCCAAAATACAAGAGGGGTTGAATAATTTTGCATGCAACTGTAATACTGATTTGCATTCCTATGTTCAACTTCAAGCATCAAGTAATTAGTAAGAATCATGAAAATCCATTAGTAATTTTTTTTAGTTACGTTGCTTTGCTTTATCTTGATGTTTATTACTTAGGTCCATTTTGACCCTCTATATCCTATAAAATATGGAGTAGTTTAATGGAAATATATGTATTTTTGTCTTCTTTGCAAATCAGCTATGAAATTAAGGATTGGTACACAGTTGTAAGTCCCTTGTCTTCAGAGTTGTTACCGTTGTTCAGCTATCAATGCATTGGTTTGATTTAAAGTTTGAATTTCATTGTTTGAAGTACAAACCAGCCTGGTGTGTTGACTTCATGGCTCCTATCATAGCAGTTGGGGCTATCATTTGATGCCTAGTCCTATTTTTATTTATTTATTTTTTTGCAGTCGTTTCATATTTTTCCTGAAAAATCCGAGAACCAACAAAATAAGTTGGTGTGGCCTTAAGGTCTGATTAAAAAAATCAAGATGGTCAATTTTTACTCAAAGGTCATTGTTAGGGAGGTAAATGGTATATATATTTGGTATTTACTTGTAAATGTTTTAAATCACATTCCTAGATAGCAGTTATTCCTTAAAAAATCCTTTTTTGGTTTAGTTTTTACATGTAGATTTGGCCCCCTAGTCAAGACATAGACTAACCCAGCTTGTATATACAAATGTAGGCTGTCTGAGATCCCTTGCCCTGAAGACAGTGGCATGATTCATGTGTCCCGCTGTAAGGGCAGCGGAGTGCTAACAGGAGTTGAATTGGCAATGTTGAGGTCTGGGGAATTCCATCATTTTTGCGGGGGCCTCCTCAGGCCTTATTGTATAACCTGCTGATGATGAGAGCTCAGTGATGGCTCAGGCTGACCATGGCCAGGAAGGTGAGCGCTTTATTACCAAATCTTCGCATACAATCTACCATCGGCTGTGCAGTTTGACAGAATGACTGCCAGTATGGATGTAAAGCTTTCGTTATGCTCATGTTGGCAACAGAGATGCTCTTAAGCCACAAGCTTCACAACAATGTCTCAATGACATCATTACAAGCCCTGTCTTCATCAGTGGCTTGGACTTGTCATGAAGCAAATTAGACTAGCCTTGTGTCTACATGTACATCTGTATCTAACAATATCTACATTGCGAATCAGTGCATAGTTAATGGTGGATCTTGTCATAGCTTCATGGTTTGTCTATAATATTTAACATCCAGACATTTGTACATGTCAGACAGGCTATTAATTGGGGACTTGTGATGCATAAATGTGCTCCACATTGTAATGTGACCTGCAGGTTGAATCCTTGGCTTGAAGTCATTTCAATATCCCATATTCCTGACATGATAAATGGTCAGTTGGTCAAAATAAGAATACAAGCAGAAACAAGGTACTTCCTGAATGCTTGTATATTTTTTTGTCCCAAAATGATCCCTAAACACATCTTGGCAGCACTATATGTTACAGAAAACAAAATTATGATTATGATATGGGATTTGTGATATATGTTTTACTGCAGTATGTTTGCTGCATTATGCACAATGTCATTCTTTTAAATTAACAATTGCAATCATGTCCTAGTTCTGTCTAAGGAAAAACTGCTACTAGTAAATAAAGAATGGCAAAAAAATAAAAATAACAAACAGATGGGTGCCCAAACAAAAGATGATTAGATTTTGGATATGATGAAATTGTTTTAGAAAGAGTCAAATGTACAGAACATGGGCTGATAGAGTATCCTATTCTCGTACTGAAGAAATTGACAGAAGATTAGTTATCTTTATTCTCTGTCTGTTAATCCTACAGATATTTGATGACATGAAATATACGATTATGAAAAGTACAAGAGTATGTCTCTAGGGTGTTGGGGGAAGGATATTGGAATGGTGGCTTTAGGCACATACATGTAATATGTTCCTGCACAATACTTATATTTCATGTATATCAGACCCAAAGTTGCTTAAGATATATAACAGTTAATTACCAGTAGTGGATTGGTCAAGCGGCCCACCTGACCTTTAGCATAACACACCTGCTTAAACAGCTAAGTTTGCAGGTAAATACATTTATCCTCAGTTAGGATTTCTTCACAAAAACCTGTAAAATACTGTCAACTGTCAACCTATTTGGTATAAAGAATGGAGGATGCAGGGATGAGACCATTAGAATGTCAGCAGTATGTCGTCCCAAAGGCCTTGAGTTCCCCTATACATGTAGCAGGTGGCCTCATCAGGGTAATGGTGAGATGGCTGAGGTACTGTGGAAGGGTGAGGGGTGGTAGCAGAGGAAAAGGAGCTGGAATAATTGTAGTTATCCAATTGCACAAGAGAAGATCAGTTCAATAATTATTTTAGACTTGCGCCATTGATTGCTTAATTTGATTTTGAGTCAGATTGGGGTGTGTGGCATGATACCCTTCTTGGGTAAAGAGGATCCCCTTTTGGTAAAATTTTGGCATAATTTTTGAGCTTGTAATCTGTTACAGCATCTGTATCAATACTGTCAATCAATGTTGAGCCTAACCTCTCTGACCTTTCTCTCTGATATTTATGACCTTTATCGTTAAGTAGATTCAGTAGATTAATTGTTATGTTTCATTGTATTTTGTGTATTGACTATTGTCCCATTCCCAGGGCTAGCCATTTGCTATACTGATACAAACTATATGTCTCTCACAGCCAGAGCAGTAAATACATACAATTAGGAAGAAATGTGATTGTGAAGGAAGACTTTGAATCAGAATCCTGCCTTCCTGTAGGTGAATGGACAAGACGCCTCCCTGCAGAATGGTCTGGACGATGGGATCGGAGCTGCCACACAGGCCATGGGAGAACTCAACTTTGAGGAAGAAGAAGAGGAGGACACTTACTACACCAAGGACCTGCCAAATCATGCCTGCAAGTATGTATATTCTGTAATACATATTTGTTCCAATAATTAATCTTAGGTATGTGTGTCTGTCTGTTTGTGAACAGTATAATTTGAGAAGTCATGGATGGATCTTCATGCTATTTGGTATGTTGGTAGGTTGAAACAAATATTAGAAATGATTAGATTTTTCTTGTTTTTTTCCCTATTGTCACAGTAACAGCTATATTCGAGAGAAGCCACTGTAAAATCCTATACTTCTATCGTACCGTTCCCAATTTGTATTCTGGTTGCAAGTTGACTTTGCACATGTTGGACCCCCAAATGTCAAATGTCAAAATATAAGCTGGAAACAATGTATCAATTTTCTTCAGTTATGGAAAATTTTGCGAGCTCTGGTATAAGATACATGTTAATGACATATTCATCATTCTTAATGTTAGCTGGTTGAAAATTAAAATAATAGTGTGTCTGGGAAACCTAATTTCTGTTGCAGTCATTTAATGTGTAACTACATATACACACATGTACAATGTATAATGTACCTTGAACACTAAAATGTTGCAACAGTAATGAATAAGGTTTGTCCTGCAAAATATATAATATAATACAAAATAAATCAAGGAACTGGAAACATTCTCTAAAGAAAAAAAACATGAGAAAGACATTCCAACATCCACAGTAGTAACACTCAAGCACTGTCTCTGTAAGTATTGGTGCTTGTCTCTAAAGAGTTCTCTATTAAGAGAAGTTTCCAGTTACTTGATTTATTTTGCAGTAAGAAGGAGATGTTATGTTGATTGTGCCTTCCTCCTGCAGGTTTTGTGGTATCCACGACCCCAACTGTGTGGTGATGTGTGGGATGTGCAAGAAATGGTTCTGTAACGGCCGTGGAAACACATCTGGCAGGTAGGGCCAATCAGGGCTGCCTCCAAATTGAAATAGGCTCTTCCTGCTGCAGCAGCACCAGACAAATCTTACCTGCACCGCTCTGCTGGAAAATTAGATTTTCTTTTTGGAGCATGGATCAAAGTGGGAACTGTAACAACACCATTTCGGTTCTATATTTAGCATTTCACAGGCGGTAACACCTACATTTATGTACCCCTTACCTGGGCTGATGCAAGTTAGGCTCAGGTATAGACTGTACATTCAAATTACCTGCACATCTCCAATTTTTCTTGCACTAGGTAGTACATGTACTACTAGTATTTTGGACCTTGGCCAAACAATTTGGACAGAAGATGCACTATATCACAGAAGTGAGAACATATTGCCTGAATGATCCATGTTGTTAAACTAAGAAGGATATAGTAGTAAATATTTTGTTTGAAGTATGTATAGGATGGAATCTATCTAGTTGAATCAAAATGAAAGTTTGAAAGTTTCGTCAAGTTGAGATGTGTATATGATTATGTTTAAGCCACATCATCAACCACCTGGTGAGGGCCAAGCACAAAGAGGTGACCCTGCACAAGGACGGTGCCCTGGGAGAGACGGTGCTGGAGTGTTACAACTGTGGCTGTCGGAACGTCTTCCTGCTGGGCTTCATCCCCGCCAAGGCTGACTCAGTCGTGGTGCTTCTGTGTCGGTAAGTCCCGTTTCAACAAGCAGTCTGTTATTCTTCTGTTAGGGCTTGACTTCGTTGTTGGTTTAATATTTGCGGGGAAGCAATACAGTAACTGTAAATCACTTTATGTTTGCGGAGCAAAGGTTGGCAGTCAGAAAAATGGAGATTGCAGAACTGTACATTCGCAGCAAAAAAAAGTTGGCGAATTATTTGTTCACGGTAATGATAAGTTCACAGTTCAGAAGTGGCCACGAAAACTGTGAATATAAAAAGTACCGCAGAAAAATTGTGATTTACAGTATATGTGTGTTGAAATAGAAGGTTTCAGAGCAGATTGGTACTGAATGACATGGTTTTGTGAAAGACTTATTTCGAATTCTATGACAACCCCCTTTGTAACCACAGGCAACCATGTGCGACCCAGTCCAACCTGAAGGACATGAACTGGGACCAGACCCAGTGGCAGCCCCTGATCCAGGACCGCTGCTTCCTGCCCTGGCTGGTCAAGGTGCCGTCGGAGCACGAGCAGCTGCGGGCTCGCCAGATCACGGCACAGCAGATCAACAAGCTGGAGGAGATCTGGAAGGTATAGAACTAAGAACACTAGCAACATTTGCCAACAAATGCAGAATACTTCCTCCCATAACGAATCTGCCATCTCTGATTGCATTGGTCATGATGTACTTACTTGTATACCTAACAGGAAAACCCTAATGCCACCCTGGAGGACCTGGAGAAGCCCGGCGTAGATGAGGAGCCCCAGGCCGTGCTTCTGCGATACGAGGACGCCTACCAGTACCAGAACATCCTGGGCCCTCTGGTCAAGCTGGAGGCTGACTACGACAGGAAACTGAAGGAGTCTCAGGTACAGGATCATGCACCATGCAAAAAATTAGCTTTCTAACAGAAAAACATCCTAGAGAAAGCATGACTATACATGAGAATTTACTCTATACTGCCTAGAGGTTGCTTCTACTGAAAACAATCACTGGGCAACATTTGATCTGTATTGAGCCAAGTCTTCCCTTTTATTTTTCCTTAGACCCACTCCAACATAACAGTCCGCTGGGACCTGGGTCTGAACAAGAAGCGGCTGGCGTACTTCACCATGCCCAAGACTGACAGTGACATGCGGCTCATGCCTGGAGACGAACTCCGCATCAGGTATGAAGGAGAGCTGGGGCCGAAGTGGAAGGAGGTTGGACATGTCGTCAAGGTACAGTCAAGTCATTTTAAGTTCCCCGTACTTGGATTTTGTGCAAGAGTTTGTGCCACCTTTTGCAGCACTGGTAGTAATTGTGGAAGACAGAGCAAATGTTTGCAGGTGTAGTGATTTTCACTGTGAAATTCACAAACTTAAAAACACTTCCAATATTTTGAGATTTACAGTTGGCAAATTTCTGTTTACTCAGCACAGTCCTTTTTGTAAACCGCTGAACCATAAGAGTATTCGTATCTAAGATACAAAATTGATTCTGATTGAATTAGTCAGCTACCCATTCAAGTCCCTAAGTGCTGTTTTGTCATTTTGCATGCTGAAGTAAGTAGGAGCTTTGGTGGATATTTTTAAAAATCTTGTTCTGTTGGTCTGTGCTCCTAACAGATGTTGCTATATTGCTCACAGTGTATGTTATGTCTTCTAGGTTCCAGATAACTACACAGAAGATGTGTGTATCGAGCTGCGCAGCAATGCTGGAGCACCTGTTGATCTGACCCACAACTTTGCCATCGACTTTGTCTGGAAGTCAACCTCCTTTGACAGGTGCTGTGTCTACATCAGTTTACTCAGTTCTCATTTCAAGGTTTGGCTTAGGGATAACCAAACATCTTTCTATAGAATTGTAAGAATTGAAAGTTGAAATCTTTACATTACTTTTCAATTTTTGTTGTCCTTCACACTACAGAATGCAGGCTGCCATGAAGACATTTGCAGTAGATGAGACGTCAGTGTCAGGGTACATCTACCACAAGCTGCTTGGTCATGAGGTGGAGGATGTGGTGATGAAAACTCAGCTGCCCAAACGTTTCTCAGCTCCAGGGCTGCCTGAGCTCAACCATTCACAAGTCTACGCTGTCAAAACTGTCTTACAGAGGCCTCTTAGCCTCATTCAGGTAACTTATGGAACACTATGTAATGGTGGAATTTTTTTATTAAGAACTATTTCTTTTTCATTAAGTATTCTCACTAAGTATTTCTATGCAAAAACAATGTAGACCAAATCACTGTAACTCAAGTGAGAGCAAATCAATGTATTATAATTAGTAATTCTTTTATTTATGTTGTACAGCAGTGTAATGTTGTCGCTTTAATGTTATGTTTTGGAATCCAGTAAGATAAGTTGCTTTTTCAACTAATGGATATCACGATAAACTGTAATTGTTTTGTTTACTGTGTAACTGCAAGAAGGTCTCTGTTCCTGCAAGTGAGAACTTTAGAGACTGACCTGCTGGGTTTTTCTGCAGGGTCCCCCTGGTACAGGGAAGACAGTGACGTCAGCCTCCATCGTGTACCACCTGGCCAAGCAGAACAACGGCCAGATCCTGGTCTGTGCGCCCAGCAACATCGCCGTGGACCAGCTGACCGAGAAGATCCACAGGACGGGGTTAAAGGTCGTGCGTCTGTGTGCCAAGAGCAGAGAGGCGATCGACTCCCCAGTGTCATTCCTCGCACTCCACAACCAGATCCGCAACATGGAGAGGTCAGAACTCAACATGTACTTGTTTGTTTTTGCCTTTATTCAATCTAGACAAAGCTCTATTTGGCTGATTTTGTAGACTAAACCATAGTCAAGAGGATTTGAGGGCCCCATTTTTCAATTTGTTGCCTATTACATTATGAAAGCTGAGACTTCAATAATTGTACATTTGTACTTAAGATTTGAATGTGTAGATCTACCTCCTTTGATGTTCACAAAACCTAGCCTGGGTACCATCCCCAGTAGTATATTCGCAAACTCTATAACTGGGTCTGGACTTGCACACATATGTAGCGTCTGGAGTCTAAATATTCGTTCAGATTTTGAACGAGCGCGCTGATTGGTCCTACTCGTCTAAGCCCTTTTTTGGGTGTGTACATATTAGGTAAGGGCTGTTCGGATGTCCGAACGGCGACGTTAGCGTCCGTTCGAACGTCCGAACGCCTTATCATCAACATGTCCGACGGCGAACCGAACGCTAAAGCGCACATGATATAGCCGTAGTCAGTCTTTCCGCGATAAATCACCAACATGGCTGACGCACAAGCCGCTCAGCTCACGGAGGTTGATGTTGACCTTGCAATCACGTCCGTTTAGGACGATTTAGACGGAATATCGTCGCTCAAAAATGAGCAAAAAGATGCATTGAATAATTTCGTTCGTGATGTCTTGGGCGTCCTACCGGTAAAAAAAAAGAACGCACCGAGAAAAGGAACACTCGCGCGAAGATCTGTGTTTACAAAACAACAAACATCACTTGAATAATGCAGGTGCGCCATTGGCCGTCGCCTCTGAGGCTCAGCCAATCAAATGAAGCCCCGCTGCTCGGGCTAGCTCATTACGTGACGTCATGACCAATCGTTTTATATGTGTGCAAGTCCAGACCCAGTTATAGAGTTTGCGAATATACTACTGGGGATGGTACCCAGGCTACACAAAACCTGCAGTGTAAAAAGTTCAAAGCATGCCATTCACTACATGCAGGGCATGACAGAATTTTTGTTTGACTGTCTGATCTTGATCCCACGCAGCCTACCTGAACTGCAGAAGCTGCAGCAGCTGAAGGATGAGACTGGGGAGCTTTCATCAGCTGACGAGAAACGGTACCGGACACTCAAGCGTAATGCAGAACGTGAACTCCTACAGGTCTGTTCCATCACTTGTGTTGCATATTTTGCTGGTTTACGTTGTCAGTCTTCATGTCAAGCTGTGATATCTATAATAGGTTATAGCTGACTATGAAGTGTACAGAAAACTACCTGTACATAAGCTATACATTGTAGTTGTTGAATACTGACCAGTGTTCGAAATACCCGTCTGCAGTCTGCAATTTGCAGATAGATTTTCAAGATTGCAGAAGAAAAAATCTTACAATCTGCAATTTTGCAGAAGGAAAAAATAGGCTTCGGATTTAATAGTTTTCAATTAGCAAAGCAGTGGCGCTGTGAATAGATCGAAAACCTGCGCCGCACGAACCTGCCGGCGTTTTCCAGCAGACTGTAATGGTCCCATATAAGGAAATTTGGGGTCAAAGTTGAACGATTTTGACAAGGCGACGAAAGGCGACGATAACGAAATATGGGCACTCGCCATTTTCCGATGTTAGATTTCGTCTCCCAGGAGGACCCGACAACTGCCTCGGCAATTTTCGGCAGTTTTCGCTGAGCATTTCCCAGCAGGCAACACGGCAAAGGAAACATGGCTCCTCCGAAAAACCACACTCGCCTCGGCGTTAATTTGCCGAAATTTCGATGTTTTTCCTTGGTATTTTGCACGATTCAAGCAAAGAAAACAAGTTGATCCCATGAACAAAAGAGAAATACAGCACTGGGAACCTAATGGTCCGTTTTGTTGGGCGGTAATTTCTCATTTCGAGTGAAAATTTACGTGCATCACAGTTGTGACCATATGGTGTAAAATCAGTGATTTTCGGCTCGATCCGAACCAAGCACGGCCCGTAGACTTGTCCTTTATGATTTCTAGATGACTATCGGTACCAAAATACGGGAAAATATTGTTGCAAAATGAGAGAGACGGAGACTAAGGTAAACTTCTTTTATTTGAAGGCTGGATTTTCATTTTCCTGGCAGGCTTCTTTGTATGTAGTGATCATCAGTTATTCAGTAACAACAAATATGGATTTTTGTTCTGGTCAAAAAAACCGGTCCACCGACGTTTCGGTTTTTGTGGACCGGACCGATAAAATTTTACGGTCCGAACATATTTAAAAGAGTGATATTTTGAAGAATTTCAGTAATGCTACAGATTTACAAAGCTATACCATTATATATATATGATGTAAAAATAGGCATTATTGGTTTCAGAAGGTTGTAATATGGGGGATTGTGTATTTGCAGAAAGTATTTCCAAATTGCAGGACGAAATTTTGACTCTTCTGCAATATTGCAGAGCACTGAAAAAAAGTATTTCGACCACTGCTGACGATGTTGTGTTGTTTCAGCATGCAGACGTGATCTGCTGCACCTGTGTGGGAGCAGGCGACCCCCGTCTGCAGAAGTTCCAGTTCCGCACAGTCCTGGTGGATGAGAGCACCCAGGCCACGGAGCCGGAGTGCATGGTGCCCATCATCCTGGGCTGCAAGCAGGTATGACTGCATTAACATTGGCAGTACATGGGGGCTGATTAGCTATACCAGACATAGCTAATCTATATACATGTATACCAGATACATGTGCTGAAACTGATATACAACAATTACAGGCCATTCATTTCTAGCTTGTCAGTTATTGCTGCATTAATGTATACAGCTTACAACATTTTTTCTCTCAGATTTTTTTTGATAATAATTGTTGAAGTATATTTTTTATGAGAAAGATGCCTTTTTTGCTTAATGACAATACTTTAGCAGGCCATGAAAGATATGCAAGTCTAATGATGACATTTTGAAATGTTCCAGCTGATCCTAGTAGGAGATCACTGCCAGCTGGGCCCTGTGGTGATGTGTAAAAAGGCGGCGCGGGCCGGACTGTCGCAGTCCCTGTTTGAACGGCTAGTCGTCCTGGGCATCCGACCAATCAGGCTGCAGGTGCAGTACCGTATGCACCCTGCTCTCAGCGCCTTCCCATCCAACATTTTCTACGAAGGGTCACTGCAGAATGGGGTGACTGCTGGTAAGTCATGGCAAGGAATGTGCTGCAAGGACTGGTGATAGAATAGTGAAAGCAGGAAGAACAATTTTTCCCAACGAGCAACAAAGCATAGAATTGGAGGGTCCAGAAAGCAGCATTAACAATTATGCAATTTATGTTTTCAAAAGCAAATTCTAGCACATGATGGGTATGACAATGTGGAGCTTTCAATTTGGCTCCGATCTAAAAATTTGAAGGAAACACCATTCTTAGAATGATGAACTCTTTGATACAGACCAGTCTTGTTCTTTGCCTTGCAGCTGAACGCACCAAGAAAGGGTTAGACTTCCCCTGGCCACAGCCTGATAAGCCCATGTTCTTCTATGCCACCAGCGGACAAGAGGAAATCGCCAGCTCAGGAACATCCTACCTCAACAGGTGAGACTTCAGTCACTGACTGACTTAGTCACTTTACCAATTACTCATTGTCAGTCAACCGTATAATTATCTAATTACTTAACTACTCTTGAATCTTAGTAATTCCTTTGTCCTTTTTCCAGGACTGAGGCCTCCAATGTGGAAAAGATCACCACCAAGTTCCTACGGGCAGGGGTTAAGCCAGACCAGATCGGCATCATCACACCGTACGAGGGTCAAAGGGCATTTGTGGTGCAATACATGCAGTTTGGCGGGCAGCTGCATACCAAGTTGTACATGGTCAGTTTCTCCTGCCTTATAGCCATCAGGTTGTCTGTTGTGGAGGAGAGTGTATCTGACAGAGTTAGTATGCAGCCATATGAAATTTGCCCTGTAAAATGGATTACAATGTATAATGTAGATATTGGTAGTAATTTTCATAGGAGAGATGGCTTTGACAGGGAGCCTTGCTCCATCAAATTGAGAGGTTGGCAAAAGTTTAGAGCTGGAGATAGTGCTGAATTACATATGTAAAGACATGATTAATTTTGCTGGACTTTCCATTGAGAAGTGTGATATGAGTACGTCAGCAAAACTAGATGATGCATGTGTGATAGTTGATGACTGTTGTCCCCAGGAAGTGGAGGTGGCGAGTGTGGATGCATTCCAGGGACGAGAGAAGGACTTCATCATCCTGTCCTGTGTGAGAGCCAACGAGCACCAGGGCATCGGCTTCCTGAACGACCCTCGCCGACTCAACGTCGCCCTGACGAGAGCCAGGTGAGAGCAGGAGGCCTTTGAAATGAGCAATTCAGCAAGTCTTGATACAGATTGTCAGAAAAAGATTTATTTACAGTTGAGGTTTTGTGTGTACATGTCTTGTTTAAGCAGACTATTTTGTATATTATTTCAGGTATGGCATCATCATTGTTGGGAACCCAAAAGTCTTGTCCAAGGTAAGGAAACAACATTGATGATAATTTTAAATACAGACAACTTCATCAACCTCCAAATTTAAATGTGCATTGTTTGTAGAAAATGTCACTAATTACTAATTACATCATTACATCATGACTTGTTAATGATGGGTGGTGCCTATCGGTTCCTCCATGTACAAATGTAGTAATGATATATATCTCATTGGATGTCATCTTTTTCCCCTGTAGCAACCTCTGTGGAATAACCTGCTGGTGGATTACAAGGAACAGAAGGTGCTGGTAGAAGGTACGTGCTGGTGTTATGTTTGTGGACGCTGTTTTGTTGTTACGGATTCCCAATGTCTTGTACAAACCAGTCAGGAAGAACCTTCTATCCTGTGCTGTATCATTACCACTGCGGGTACCTGCCATCGCAACTTGTTTTAACAAATTGTCCTGCACTGTTTTGTAGGCCCCCTGAACAACTTGAAGGAGAGCATGGTTCAGTTCAGCAAGCCCCGTAAGCTGGTGAACCCGACCAACCCGGGAGGGCGTTTCATGTCCACCACCATGTGGGACGCTCGGGAAGCTCTCATCCCTGGGGGGGCATACGACAGGTCAGGGGCATTCAATGGAGGTCAGTCTTCTCATGGTTTATTCTTATTTTGTGTAATGAATTCAGTCTTGCGATGGTTTGTTGTTGTAATACTGTAATTTATCCTGATATTGACCCTTCCTGCCTTCCTTTCAACATTTTACCTATATAGCCCATTCAACGTACACATGTACCTGTGCTGTGTTAGCAGTATGTAGTTATGTGAGGGCAATATTCTCCTGTTGGTCATGAGTAGCTTCCTTCAGCCAATGAATGCAATATACTGTGTATGTAACTTACATGTGGTGACATACATGTTACATTGAGAGAGCATTAAAAGTAGGTGAGACTGATAGAGCGTTGAAAGTAGATGAGATCTTCTTTCAGTCAGGAAGCCATGTTGAACAGCTGATGAAGGTGGATATGACCTTCAACACACTGTAATGTGTATGTTGTACATGTCTGTGTGTAACCTCTCCAGGCCCAGGGTATGGCAGTAATGACTACTACCGCCCACACGACCAGATGAGTATGATCAGCAGTGAACACTCGCAGGCAGCAGGCATGGCTCTACCCATCCCTGTGGGGATGTTCATGCCTCCAGCTCACCCGCCTGGACCTTACTATGGGCAGGGTGTCCCAGGTTAGTCAGTACTGCTGTAGCATCAAGCTTTAACAAGATAAACTCACAGGAAAGGGTGCCTTGGAATTTGCAGTGTTTAGGAGCTGTATGTTGTTTGGACTAGCTTTCTCCACAATGGTTTCTGTGGCATGGTATCATTTGTTTATGGCTTAACAGCAAGAAGCTATCACTGGTTTGCCATGATATTTTTCAGTCTTTGCCTCTTAGTCTTAATAAAAGGATGCGATGTTGGACATGTAGACATGTATAGTATACCTGACCTATTTTTTCCAGGGAGACCACCTGTAAGTCGTGGGCCCAACAGGAAGGGTGGGCGTGGCCAGCGTCAGCAGAAGAACACCTACAACAGCTACAACTCCATGCAGAGTCAGTCCAGTCAGGTGAGCAACTTCACCTTACACTGTCATCACACTAGCACTCGTTTAAACAGATTATACCTGCTGTTTGGATGCACTAGATTTCAGAATGAGCAGAAAGTATTCTTGAGAATATGTACGTGAGTGTAAAACCTGTTTCCTCTCAGGATGCCTCCCAGCCGTTCTCCCAGGGTCCCCTGACCCAGGGTCACCTGTCCATGTCCCAGCCGTCCCAGATGGGTCAGTCTGGCCTGTCCCAGCCGGGCCTGTCCCAGCCCGAACTCTCCCAGGTAACCTGGACGTTCTTTGTTGTTCCTCTTCATAGGTGGACAGATTGCTTTTTTGGTGTTTGTTAGTAAAATATGCTATCAACAACCATGTGTTTCAAAGTAATTGGCTTAAGTTATGAAATACTGAGTACTTCCTTCTTCATATTTTGAAGATTTTTTGTCAAATTATTCAGCTAGGCACTGTGAGGGTTATGAATGTTGTCAATAATTGTTTTGTTGTTCAGCTTCATGTAAGGTGTGAAACTGCTGAAAAGGTAGAACGATAAATTAGCAGAAAAGCCCAGAATCCAGATTGATTGTTTATTGTAACAGCAACTAATGGTACCTCTGTTGTGTGACGTTAACAGGATAGCTACCTGGGCGATGAGTTCAAGTCCCAGGCAGATGCTGTCTTGTCACAAGACTCCACTTACCAGGGGGACAGGGCATACCAACACGCAGGATTCTCCCAGTATTGAGGTTTGTCTAAACCTAAATGCATCATCCTGATTGTTTCAAGTTACTATGCATCAAGAACCTTGTGAGTTCCAGGCCACTTGCATCTCACTCTGGAGAACCATTCACATAAGACTTGTCACACACAATGTTGACCTGGCGTTATTTGACCATAGGGGACTGGTACAAATAACTATGGAAACTGTATAGTTCAAAAGGAATGTTGGAATATATAGGGACAATACATTGTACATGTAGTTCTAGTTCTAATATTAAGACTAACACTGAAACTGTTGTGTTTCTGCTAGGAGTAAGCAGAGGATCAGGACGGAGAGGAGACCTCCTGAGATGAGGGGGAGGAGTGGCGGCTAGAGGAGGGGTGTCACCGCCCACACAGCATGGGCATGGACATACCCACAGCCAAACACAACCAATGTTACATCACAGTGGACCATGTGACTGTCAGAGCAATGACCAGAACCACTTGATGTTAAACCCTTTCCTATTGGCTAATAACAGAGCTTTCATGCCTTAAAGAATTGTTCAGGAGGGATAATGATACCTGCTTTGGGCAGTGTAACTTTTAAAAAATGTGTAGCTTTAAAGATATTGTCAAGTCAAGTCAAGTCAAGCTGGAAATGTAAGGAGTAAGGTGTAAACAAACGGGTAGTCCCCATGTGTACAACAATGCCAAGCAGGACCTGAGAAGACAATGAACTGAACATATCTTTGAAGTATGAAAGAGTCTTGTAAGTTCTTGTACCATTCACTGATCGTAGGCTGTTTCTTTGCCTTTTAGTAAAACAACTTTCCATAGGGGAGAAACCGTTCCTTCCCTGTGAAGGCAGCAGTGTCGTGTGTCTGTTGGGGTATGGCGATGATCTATGCCATACAGGGCTGAGTACTGAAAGAGAGGGTGTTCCAGAATGTAGGGGGGCCACGGGTAAAGATAGAGGATAACCCAATGACACTGTTATAAGACCTGAGTGTGTCAGGATTGAGGAGGACAGAACACAGCACGGGGTAACCGGTTACGTGCCAAAATACACAGAGAAAGCTCGAAGCTTAGCAACATGTTGTTGCTTACAACAGGCATGAGCTGATCCTAACAAAACCCACCACGTCCAGATGTGATCCAAGCCTGGTGTGGGTGAGGAGGCTGCAGCTGGACCAAACCAGAGCAAACAGCAGCAAGGCAGGGGAAACACCCAGGCAGGGAGGACAGCCTTCGGCACAGGGTTTACAACATCAAACCCTCAAGAGGCTTCAAACAGAAGATCCTGTTTCCATATCGATATCTGGAGCTCATGGCATACTGTTGGCCAGATTGGGAGATGGTATACAGCACTAACAGCTCACAAGGGAATCAGCTCAAAATATTCTTTACCACTACAAATCACATGTAGGCTCCCATGCTGTCATGTGAGATCCATGTGCGAGTAAAGAAACCAAGCACCTGACTGTGATGACACACCACCACCATAACCTGTGTGCACAGCAGAAGCCGTGACATGTACATGATTAACAACAATCCCTACATGTACATACTGCCATGAGACTGCACTACCTGGTCTGAGCAGATCACCAATTAGCACCGTGTGTTTCAAGACGGTCAATTGGAAGACCCAGACATCCACACATGTCCAATTACCTCAGATTTGTAATGCATGCATGTGTGTTATGCATTACACATTTCAAACAATCAAATCTTACATAATTACTTCATGAAGATAATTGTAAGCACGTAAACCTGACCGAGAAATGGTTTTCCTGTCACAGTAAGATCTGTCCCTGAAAAAGAATGAATTAGGCGTGACAGCAGGAAGGCGAATGTTATAGAATACCATTCTCAAATCTCCCAATAGCTGTGGTGAATTAGGAACTGTGAGAATTAAATGGTATACTGGCCCCCCTACTCTGGGTATTATAAACTGCACAGCAGTTAAATCTTATGTCTAAGTTCCATATCTTTCTTCTTCATTGCTTGTTTCTCAATCAGTTAGAAACCTTGCTGTCATGTTGTGTTCACTGTAAGATGGATCTGGCAGACAGATATTCTGTTTGGTTTACTCCTATGTCATGGTGGTGGACATTGTCTAGACTCCATGTTTTGTAACCAGCTGCATTGCTGATGTGTTTTGTGTAGTGCTAGTGCATGTACAACCAAGCTCAAAGGAACTGATTGTATTAATCAACTTAGGTCCTCTAAGTACTAGAATCCTTAGGTACCCTGCACGTAGGCTTTAACCTATCTGGAGCAACCTACGACAATTAAACAAAAACTTTGTAAACATTAGGAATGGTTTTCATTGCTTTTTTGTGTAGAACGTAGTGCTATTATCAATTTAGTTTTCGTGGTCTTGAAGATGTGTCGCATAGATTTATCTGTAAAGGTGACTTACATATAGTGTAGGACTGTGCAACCTGCACTCTTACATAACAAGCAGACAGCGTAGCATGATACATGTCAGTAGCCTGGTTCCTACTTCAGAACAGTCTGTACTGTGGCAGTACTGTGGCAGCTGGGCTCCATGTAGCATGCATTCAAGCCAGTCATGTTGGTAATGGTGTTATTAGTTGCACATAGTGTAAAGTTAATGCTTCCTCAACTAGAACATCCTAGTGGCATGCATTGCCTTTCTCAGAGTAATTTTCTGTTGAGTATTAAATAAGTTGATTACCATATAAACTTAGCCTATGAGTATCACAGAAACCCCATATGGCCATGGGGGCATACCCTTCCACTCCTGCTGTACCATGCCATACATGTATATTTCTTTCAGCCATGCACACCGTACTTTGTACATGTATTCAAGTGTCCTTACCAGGAATGATACAGTTTAATGCAGGTATTTAGATCTGGGTCTGGTTAGAGAGAATCTGTTTTTTTCTGCTTTAGGGAACTTTGTGTGATTGTTTAATTAAGACATTATGCCCGAAGGAAATAGGCAATGGCTACATAGCTTGCGTAACATCCTGAATTGACCATTCATGATCGACCAAACAAGAATGGGAATAACTAAATATAAAAAAAAACTTTGTGTATTAATGTATGTGCAAGAGTATAATTTGTATGCTTCATTATGGCACAGGTACAGATACATGTATTTGTAGTTTTCATCTCTTCTGATACATGCATGTCTTTGTTACAATGTGATACCAAACAGACATCTAGTGGCTAAACATTTCATCATTGTCATGTACAGATGTGGCAAGAAGTTATAAAACGGGACACAAGAAATCAACTTTATCATGCATGTAGGACTTTCACATTTTTATATGGTGGCATTTTTGTCCCAAATTTTGCTGTATTATCATGTTTGGAGTTTGGAGAATATACATGTAGTTCACCTGCACTATACATACATCTGTGTGTCCATATGGTTTTATCACATGTATAATATATGGATGTTCCCATGCTACAAGTGAACAATGTTGGAAGCAAAGCCAAGAGTCACAAGCCAGAAAGATGTGGACTCTTGTTGTGAAATATCTTTTGGGAAATTAGCTAACTGATTATCTTACTGGATTTTTTCCTGGCTGCATAACCGAAAACAGTTTTTTTTACTAATAACAATAAATAATTGTGGTGGGTTCAGGAATTTTATGTTAAAAAAAGAAGAAGGATTCAGCATCAGCATGCTCAGAAAGGGAAAGCCACATGTTCTGACACTCCTACATGTATGTCTCCACAAAGGGTTCGGGATAGGGTGATAGGTTGCTGGAACATACATGTACTAGTAGGTTGAGGTGCCAGAACATAAGGAGTGTTGGCACATAGTGGTTTTACCGTTCTTAAAGTTCCTCACATCTGCTGGGTGAATTCGTGTGTTTGGTTGAACTACATTAACCAGCATACATAGTATACCTAGTTTTGTTTCACAAAAGTAAAGTGTGCACCATTACGTGGTTTGGGATAAATATTTGTTATCACATCAATTTTATTGTCACATGATTTTGCAATTTGCTTGACAATATGGAGTAATCAGCCGGGGATCATTTTGTACAAAGGATGTCACCTTGAGATTGTAGTAATGGGTTCTGTTTTTGTTCTGCCATGTCTGACTCACTTTTGTCCTTGGTTGTTTGTAAGATGGCAATAAAGATTAAATTGCATGAAAACTTATTTGTCATAGTTGTTGATTGTACCATGTCAGTTCGTAGTACGTTCATGTATTTCTAAAAATGACTCAAACAGGCTACACGCTCTTTTTTGGAAGCTGAGGAAGACAAATTGTCCCACGTTTTCTACAATGAGTGGGTTTTGAGAGGTTAACAGGGTTGTAGTTTTCATCAGTAAACGTTTGGAAGCTTTGGTAAGTTTTAGTGGCTTCTTTAAATAGCTCTTTTCTTCCCTGAAAAGATAAAATGTATTTTGTCATCCATCGCTTTTGACATACAGTAGTTACAAAATATTTCCCCTCCGGGTAACTTTTTGTATCCCCCCTTTCTCAAGTTCGGTTGTATTATAAGGCCACACCAAGTAAATTTTATGGATGACGTCCTTTGGAGACCCTAAATCTAATGCGAGAGGGCGAAAAAAAACAAGAAAGGCCCTAGAAAACAAGATGCCTAGATTAGAAATATACTAAGAGACGGCAAATGTTAGGACACAAATTGAATGAGGTGACACAGTGTAACAAGCAAGAAGTCTTTTATTCATCATCAAAACAGCAATAAATCAGGTGGAACAGCAGTTGTCATCCTGTCCTGTTCTCGCGTCACGGGTTTCACGTCAATCTGACGATTTGTGGCACTGTCGTGACTCTTTTGTCATAGTTACAGGAAGCGGAATTTCTTGGGGTTTTTTTCTGCGAACAGGCCAAAATCAATGCGCGCGCGGACGTCATCCATAAAATTTACTTGGTGTGGCCTAAAGGATAATAAATGTGGTTAAGTGTAGTGCATTGAGCAAAAGCGACTTCTAGTAGTTCGGTGCCGGACTGCACCAGTATGTTGGCTCAGTTGCCCTATTACTGCAGTGACGTTTTAGCGCCGCTGTGGGGCACTTTTGATCCATGGCGATTTTAACGTGTCAGAACGAAGCAGGTTTCTCCAATAATAATTTTTCTTTTCTTTTACAAAAGATTCAAATTGGGACCATTCTTCCTATCAGCGTCCTAACTTGGTATTTAAACTTTCCGTGTCCAAAACGCAGTTATGTCTATGTTTGATAGACATAACTGATCAGTACGAAATTTTAGTTGTTACATCATGATTGTGGCTATGAATCAAACGTGAAAAAAATGTTGTGGAACTTGAAAATGGTGAAGGATAATGTTTCATCACCAAGGACAGACACGGTAGTAGTCTTTCTCTTCTATATTAATACAACAATGGACAGGCTTGACTGCTACTTTATTGAGTCTTACAGGGGATGGTAGTAAATCTCAAAATTCATTCTTTTTAGAACAAAAATAGCTTTGAACATGGAAGATTAACAAAGGATACACACTATGTTCTAGTGATTTTCAATGAACATATAAGAAGACTGAATTGGCTACCGATTCTCTATTGGTTACAGGGTTAAGAACAAGAACAATTCATCCAGTGCACACTAGGCTAGAGCAGATTTTATTCTCAAGGCGTAAATGTACATCTAAACTCCTACACAAGTACATTTGTACACAGCAAAGTTTACAGTAATATTGGCGTAGACACTAGCTTGGCATAGCGACCATGTTTACAGCAGTATAATCTGGGCATCATTCAATGTACCAGACAGTGAAGGGTTGCAAGAGGATTTAAACAGTAGGTTAAGCTAAGTACAGATGTGTTTGTAAGTAAGTCTTCATTGGCTTCCTTTGCAAGCAAGTGCTAGACTAGAAATTCGTCTAATACGGTGAGAAAAAAATTGTCATAGGAATTTATGATATATAAGTGTGGACCTCTCCTTGGTGCTGAACTCACCATCAGATACATGCATTGCGGTAGTGAGCGGCAATAATATTGTACTAGACGTTTTATTTGACACAACAGAATGCATGGAAAAGTGAATTATACATCTGTTTTAGTACATATATACAGTATATAGAAGCCTGTATATCAACGAGATCTTTATTTCATCAACACTTTTATTATGTTTATCTTCGCACAAAGAAAACATATTGTATTTGCTCTGTTTCTTCTTCTTCTTCCTCTTCTTCTTCAAACAACTAAAGCCAATGGCCGGGACGCCTGACACCATGGTAGCTGGCTGGTGTTGGGTTAGATGATGATTCGCATAATTGTCATCTAATTATTTCAAGCATCGCTGAAGCTACTTACACATCAGAAAAAACGACAATCCGTCAACCGGTTCTTGAGTTATCCTACTTCAAACATTTTCATACAAACTTCCCTACAGTTCCCAGTTGCTAGGGGGCGAACCTCACGTGACGTCGCACAAGAGGTACCTGCCATCCAAACATCATGACCCTAGCATGTCCAGATTACGAGATATCAAAACCGGAAGTTCCGTTGCAGTACCATGATAAGCCGCCTGGGGGGATCTAATCATTTAGAGCTCTTATGACGCACGTGACTCGATGAGCAGTGGATCGTAGGTTGCTTTGGTTGCCATGTCCCAAAGTAGATGGTCTCTTTGATACCTCGTGCAAAAAAGTCAGGTTCGGGGTCCAAGATTCTTACTTTATCCAATGAGATCGAGTGTTCATGTTCGATTTTACATGAACATGTTGTTAGACTTCCGAGGTAGCCGACACAAACGACCTAGTTTGTGTCTTTAGACTGCTACCCTCGGATTGAGACTGTTACAATATACTAGTAACACATTAAGTTTTCAACACTTACTGGTACGCCCCCTGTCTGATATGATCGGTATGTCAGCGAAACCGATGGGACCCGTTGAAACCTATATTTCAATCTGGGTAAGTTCTAAGAACAAAATTCAGTGGTAGATCTATATCCGGAGGTATCATCTTTTCCTAGCAATACGACGCGTGGTCATTTTGGATAAACTTGTTTAAAGTTTTTTTTTAAACCAAACCAGGTTGTTTGAGAACATTCGGCTTACAGAAACAGAAGAGGCGGAACACCAGAAAGAGAAGCCGTGTGCATCATATTGTTGCCGGCGTGTCGCCCGGCGCGTGGAAACCCTACACGAACAACTGAAGGGTCAAGTAGGGAGACGAATAGGCACTACTCTACAAGTGAAAAGGTCGACATGAATTTCCCACGCTGTGGGGAAGGCCGATCCAGATGAGAGCGCATGATCTCCGTAAATCCGCGGGTCGCCCCGGGTCGTTGTTGTGCGGATGTCACGATACCACCACTACGTAGTTGAGCGGATCACTGGCACCCTTTCAGCCCATGGCGGGGTGTTTATCCTTCTAATCAAATTTTTGACATGTCATTAGTGAGTTGTATGCCGCTCTCCGCATCACTGCCTCTTTATTTATATGATTAGTCCAATCATGCGAGAGAGAGATCTCCAAAGGAAAGTATCTCACAGAAGTTGAGACCGGGGATTGGCAAAACAAAGGCGGACATGAGGCAGGTCTGCGCGTGTTACTCACGTCACGGAGGAGACATTTTCGTACAACATGTGTGTCATCTCTGAGGTAATCCCGCTCCAACGCGCCGGGGGAAAGCAGCCGGGCCGGGCCGGGCTCTAGGGCTGCGTCAACGGACTGTTACAAACTGCTTTGTGAAGGAGGATTCACAGAACTTCAATGTGACTTCGGGATTGGGGATGTTGGTCACACTACCGGGCTTTTCTTTTCGCGACTGTCACGGCATTTTACACGACATTGCCTTTGTCCGGCAGGCGATCTGAGCTTTTGTTTGTAACGCGCGCGGACAAGACTTTGTGCATATCCCGTCAGACACGTCCGAGACACCCACTATGCAGGGATCCTGGTGGACAACCCTTCTCCTCCTCAGCCTGCTGTTGTCGGCCGTGCTTCCCGCGGACGGGCTGTGGTGGTAAGTAGTCAGTTGCTTGTCAGCTTTCCGGGGCCGTTCTGTTATGCTAGATCATGTGTTTATGCTAGAGCGAGCCAGGCCTGCCGGTGTGCCTTATCCAGAACAGCTCGCGTTTGAATGTCGCCAGTCGGACGGTTTTTAAGTAAAAGTCTGTCGATAGAGCAGCAACTTATCCGAGCTTGTGTGTACAAACAGCGCCAAATACAACGTTAACCAATTTTCCATTCCCTGTCCTTTGTCAATCTGCATCCCCTGTCTATATTTACGGCTAATCCTTGCCAGTAGCTCGAGATAGCGCTTTCGAAGGCACAGTTTTTTTTCTTTTGTTGCCTCATCAAATTTCTTAAAAGAACATATTGCACACTGTGGTTTTCGATGATGAGATCGTCAGAAGTGGAGGAGATGATTTGGTAACATTCCCTGCCCACGTGGGGAAGCTCTCGACGCCCAAGTACCGTAAGAAATCCCAAATAGCAACAATACATCACGGATTCGCACAGCCTCTTACCGCAGCTTCGTCATAGAAATCGTCCAAATATTTGGGCCGGTGTATGATAAACGTTACTACTATCAACTCTCTACAGTGAGATCCCTTACTGGGTAGCATGTGCCACACAATACGTTCGGTTTGAAGAGGTGAGTGGGTCGGTAGCCATGGCATGTGCGTCTGTGGCGAACAGGGAAAGAAACGATTCTTTGAACTATAACTACACGGTACCTTAAAATTCTACCGCAGGAAACGAACGATGAGCAGGGAAAGGTTGGGGATCAGACGATATTCTGTTGAGACTGAGCGCAATGACTGTATATCTGTGTGTTCAACTGTGCAGGAAACAAAGTCGCCAGTTTAAATGCCGATTGACACGGCGTAATGACATGTATCCAGTAGCTTTGAGAGAGAGGATCTGGTGGATGTGTATGTTTTGCCACCGGCACGCATCCTTGACACGCCGCAGTAATTGATAAGGCACAGCAAATCAAAGAGACGGCTACTAAATTTGATACTAAGTGCACCGCCGTGTGCTCCATGTCCTGTTCTGAACTCCGTGCTTTTCCTATGAAACAGGAACGCAAGTGTGATACTAATCAACAACACACTTCCACATCTGCTCTCGCAATAACTTCGTTCCATAAGTCTTTAAAAAAATTATGAAGCTGTTTACAACGCAATTGTTTTGCGTGCAAGTGGTTTCAATTCAAAGTCATTGCCCGAAGTATTTCTCTCATTGTTGTGGTATAATGGCCACTTGTCCTCGGTGTAAACGCACGGCCTGTGCGCACACTGCGGATACATACCAGGCGAAAGTTTCCACAGAAACACCTGGATCCTCATACACAGTTGAGAGCTCGTGTGTAAATACCCAAACACAACGGGGACAAAAGGCAATCTTGGCCCAAACGTTCCCCAGACGGCGGCGTCCAGACACCGCTCGGACACAGGTGTAGTGAAGCGACTCTGCAATCCGGACGTGCCTCGATAACTTAACCTGCCTCTGTTGAAAATGATACAAATCCCGACCCTTCAAACAACGTTGTTCATGATTTGTACACAATAATTTCCTAATGTATGTTCTTGAAGGTAACTGTAAACAAAGAGACCTTCACTCTAGGATAAGAATAAACCCTTCCCTAATTTCTGCAAACTCAGCACCAGGGTACGTTGTAGTTGAGGAGTGGGAGAGGTGGCAGGTCACGGTGCCGCCCAGACATTCACCATCTTCTCTGCTTTTCTCTTTCCTGCTCCTCTCCCTCCCCTTTATGTAGGCTGGTGCCGTGGGCCCTGCAGCTCAATATGACGTATACCGCTAGACCTACCAACATCTCCGCTCCCTTCTCGTCTCCCAGGCTGATAGGCAACCCCGGCGCCCGGGGTGGCTCCAACGCCATCAGGTGGTCTACAGGGGAGGCCCGGCGGTACTGCGGGGCGGTGCCGTGGCCAGTCAGGAGGCAGCGGATCATGTGTGAGAAGTTCCCGCGTGCGACGACCAAGGTACGGGAAGGAGCGAACCTCGGCATCCAGGAATGTCAGCACCAGTTCAAACATCGGCTCTGGAATTGCTCCACATCAGACGTCAGCGTTTTACAGAGACTTCTCTCAATACGTAAGTATGGAACATTTTCATAATTTCAATGTACATTTTACAACAGAAGACGATTTGCCATAGATAATGATCCTGTCAAAAGTCGACATGTGACCCTTAATTAAGATTCTCCAGCCCAAGACTCAGCCATCATAAGCTGTACGTTATCTAACTCATCAACACCAATTTTAGCACGTCTTTTTATGCAAAACTTAGAAAGTACCAACCAAACGATGCGCCGCAAAACTCCTCAAACAATGATACTAGTATATTCTTGGCGGACTGCTAGTTGCTCAGAAACAGTCGTTCCCTACCTGGTCAGTGATCACAATAATGATCATCACAATGAGCTGATTCCGTTAAACACATAAGTTTGATATTACTGACAGTAAACCCATATGCGTTTACTAGTATGTTCGGTTCCTGAGAAGGTAGCCAGAGAGCCAGTTGTGCGTTCCAGCATTATTGTGACAACGTAATACATGTACGACATAGCAGATCACTACATAATCCAGTATTTAATTGGATTACAGCGACAAATGCTCTACTTGATTAGAAGAACAGGCGCGCGAGCCCACATCAACTCAACTCAAGTGCTTTCACACAGTTTTGATACTACCGGACTTGATTTACTGTTATATGAGGTAGTTGGAGTACCATGCAATGTTTGAGGTCGTTTTCAAAATCATACATTTGAAACATTATTCATGGGAAAATTTCGCGACCACAAAACAGAAGTTGGAATTCCACTCAGATTCTGCCTTGAGGCTAAGGCCCTCTTAATTTCAATTGTGTCCGGTATTTAAAGTCCTCTCGCTCAACAAAGAACTTAAAACGGTGGGTGGAAGAGTTACTACTTTCCCTCCATTCAACAGGATAATGTATACCAATGTTTCACTTGAAGATCGTGTACAGGTTTGTTGTGTAGTGGATAAGGAGGCGGTTAGTACACTCCGTACAATGCTACAGTGACTGTTTGAGCCGCACCTCGCCCATTGTTCGCGGAGCGGTAAAGTGTACACAGACATTGTCAGGCCCTTGCAAGATTTAACTTGCGCGGGGAGGCGTGGCGGACCGGACAGACCTCTCCGCCGTCTTGTCCGTTTGGTATTTCCGCACTCATGTGTGCGAAGTATTCTGCTCGGGTAACTTGAAAACAAAACACCTGGGCGATGAACAATGGCGGAAAGAATGGCAGGGCACGGGGTGTTGGGTGTTGGGGAGCGGAGTGGTGCCTTACACAGCCCCTTATTGTGCACGGTGTATACGTTGACGATTGTCCTGCCTTTGGTAGCTTTTTCAGAAATCCCCAGGTAATAATAACAGAAGGGCCTTGTCAGCGCCTTCTATATCAAATTATACACCGACTTTCGGTCTAGGACAAGTTGCCCACATCTTAGGACTGATCGTTCAATAAAATTTCATGTAACGAATATCTTATGATTATGCACAGCACTCCTGAGAGCCTCCTGTCTAGTGTCCGGGTACGATAAATTATCAAATTTCAGATACTAGTATTTGATTTTTGCAAGACAAATCTTTGAAGAGCTTTACTTCCATGATGATTACGCCTTACGAAAAAGGGCTTGCAGGCCCTCTTCCATTTGCAAATCCTTTTCTTGACATTATATAGGCGTGACCTAAAACGAAGACAATTTTAAGTGTATTCGTCTTAAAAATGCCAATAAGTGTTATACATTTTTGTTCTACTCTCCTATGTTGTGGTCGACAAAAATTGGTACCGCGTATGATGATATATAGTTGCACTGTGATATTTTAGTTGTACCCACAACTCATCTTCTCAAGCCTTCAAGACCGGTACCTAGTGCGAACCCAGGCACAGATGCCACACCATTTCCGTCGGCTAAATTGTTGTAACAAATACATGACAATATTCCGTCTACAAACAGAGATGTCGCTTGGAGACGAATCTGTAGCCATGCCGACGTTACAGCTGAGATGATCCTGCCGGAGAAAACACAATAGTCATCGTACTGGGTGGTAAGTGCACCGCCCAAGCTCCCAAATCCCCACACCAGATCGCCCCTTGGTGTTAGCGGACGGATCTGTGTGTGTTTCTGCTCATGTGTAAAGTTGCTATGCTTTACCAAAGCCCACCTCGTTAAAGAAAGGATTCCAGCTGGATGACTAAAGGCAGGAGAATAACGTTACGCGTCACGTGACGGAAGGAGCGTTATACTTCGTCATCTTTTCGCGCTAGTTAGATTAGCTGTTTTTGTTGTTTGTTCTCTACAAAGTACTAGTATTTGACTTTTCCTTGTACCTCGTTTATTTCTTTTATATTTTGAACAGCAAATTCTATTTCTTTTAGCGATTCTCAGTTCACAACGGTGACGTCAGAGTACATATGATACTCGATGAAAAATATACATGTATTTTAAATTTCGGTCCACTTGAAAATGATACCCCTTCCCTCCCCTACGATATCATTTTTGGTTCGGTGGTACATGTAGAGGGTTGGTATGTGGGTGGATGGAGAAGTACTGTTGATACACGCGGTGGGACATTTCTCTCCTTTGTACCTTAATTGCAACGTCACTCTGACGTCACCGCATTGTGTTCTCTTGTCTCACCAGCCAGTCCGGTAAAAGATGTACACATGTCCGTATCTGAGTCGCTTTTTCTATCTTATCATTGGGATGTTCTAGGTTAATAGTGACAAAACTGACAGTTTAGATGTCTGGGTTGTCTCGGTTTGTAAATTTGTTGTATCAAAACTATCTTACTCTCGAAACGGTCCTATTTCCATTTCACATAAGGCGAGGGGGGCATGCTTGTCTTGAACCACGAGTACCGCCCTCTGCAGCTCAGAATGATGACACAAAACAGGCTTATCGCATTTCATTTGTCGTTTGTTTGATACGTTTCCCGATCCTTGATTGACACATGAGCAAACAGTCCTGGTGAGCAGGTGTCACTTTCACTGTTGTGGGTATCTGATCTCCCCCGTCTCACCAGGACCGTATTACTGAGGCACACGCCGGAGTAGGGGCCAGCAGTGGTGTCTGGGCTGAAATAACAATTCAGTGCGGCTACTGGAAATATATGACAGTACCTAAAGTGTAGGTTGACGTCAAAATCGAAATATAGCACCTGCCATACTTTCTTATCCAAAGTAGGACATGCATGTAGAGGGAGCTGAGCAGCAGCAACACTGACAAACACCCTTGTGTAACACAGAACGTCTTATCTTTGACAACAACATAAAAATAACAAGACTGATAAGGTTTTGATGCGCAGAGACTTCAAAGAGATCCATCACTTCCTTTTTGGACATTTTTAAACACAGAAACATCTTTCATGTCTACTCTTTTTATCTTGAAGGAAAACGTTGCAGTAATTCAGCATGTCGCACCGACGTCCGGGATGTAGTGGGGACTGAACGGAGAATGTTTTATTATAGTGCGGCGATTAAGTGCGTATGACTGTGATCCAGCCTTATCGGGCCAGTCCGGGCATCATCCTGCCACTATGTGCGGAATGCGGGCGGCAGATGGCCCATTTGCCCGCCGATGAGCGGTGTTGGGAACTAATCGGTGGCGCAGACGAAGTGAAAGCGCGGTAGGGCTTGACATAAAGCAGCCAGCTGGTCTGGCACAAGATAGCGGACAGTTTGGATTATTCTGGATACAAGGCAGCCGACTTTTGTCCTTTGTCTTTTATTTCATGTCAAAAGTAGCCTTGTATTTTATTGTTGCCGTCATTTTTAGGACAGTCATGTATGTCACATCTTGGTTGAAATGAGCAACCATGCCTAAGTATTTTGTAGACGGTTAACCAGCACTTAAAGTTTCTTAAAAGTAGTCCTGTATTCTGTAGATCAGGCAATCTGTACGTGTACAACGGGGGTCAATGGTAAATAAAGATTGTACAGCTGGGCATAGTGCAGAGAGCACAGGGGGAATTCGACCGGAGATATCTAAGCTACTCACATGGCCAATGATGAAAACAAAGGAGAGACAGGTTGCACATGTCGGTCAGACCTCTCCCCTTATCTGTTCTAGATTAACACCCCCTGTGCCCAAATGGTAGACCTATGTTTAAGTCGATCTAAACGAACTAAACGAACGGACGAATGCAGCCTGTCACAACTAGCGGCCCACTTTTCTACCAAGGAGTAAGATTAACGACCCAAATATTTGTAGCGCCAGGTTCAGACTGAGTTCTATTAGCTAAATCCTCATGTTCAACACTCCCACCGCTAATTACACTAACGATGTCACTAATGAGAGGTTTGCCATCAAGTCGAATGAACATCAATTCCAATTTCCAGTTCTACTAGTTCATGCCTCACGAGTAGTAGAACAAGACCTGGTCCTGAGTGGGGCCAGGTTGTTTTACAGGAATGTTCATGTCGTCAAACTCAACCACAGATAGCCATCCAGCTGGCTCTCTGTACTGCAGACCTACATTGTACTACCGTACTCTCCAAGCAGAGGTTTACCTTCAGCTTCTTTTGACGTGTTGTAGGCGTTTTTATTTGGGCTTTCTTTTTTGTAATGGTATATTTTTTTACGTAACTGCCTGACAAATGGCTGCGCCAATCTGATACTGTCTTGCAGCCACCAAAAGATCTGCTCCGAGATAAATTCTACCGTTCCTTACATGGCATCAACAACGATTAATACTTAAATATTGCTTATCGTAGAAGCCTGGTACTAGGCTGCCAACCAACATCCCTATTTGAAAATGGCATCATGGGTTTGTTAGGGTGGATGCGATACATGGAGTGTCATGATATAAACCAAATACCTTTTACCTTTCATACTGCAGATTCAACAAAGCGTTGACGAGATATGATCAATTGTATAAACCTTGTTCATGTTTCAACATACCTCAATGCAGAACTGGCGTAACGTGTGGCGAAGATGTAAAATAAAAAAAAACACACTTTTTGCGACTTGCGGCAAGGCACCTTTGCACAAGATGAAATGTAAATGTTTGAAATGGTTGAAATGCGATCCAAGACGAAATGAGAGGATATATATTCCAGTGACAAATATGCAATACGACATATGATAATACAACGCATTGTCTACTGTAGACCACCGTTTCACATAGACCTTCCTTGATTCATCGTTGCTTGGCTGCTCCCATTAGATATTTCCTCCCTATCAGTCCTGGTATGATCGATTCGGCGGGTTCGGATCAGACCAGGATTGACACATGTTCGTGCTCTGAGTTGAAGTGATGAAGGGCTTTCCTATTCCACAGCACCATTATCCTCTCAGAGCGGTGAGATGAAATACTCGAGGGGTCATCAAGAAATGCCGGAATGCTATGTTTTGTCTCAAAATTCTATGGTTCCATGGCAACAGGTATGAAATAAAGGGAGGTCTTCCTGCAAACGAGAACATGCCATAGTGCGCTGTTTCTCTTTTAAGGCAAATAGATTTCCCCTTGGACGAGAAAGACGCCCGATAACGCTTCACTACAGTGAGCCAATAAGCAACACAGTTGTCACGGCTAGCAACATCAACGTAAACGGTGCCAAGGTCAGGAAGTGGCTAACAATGTGAGAACTACATCATCATTAGACAAAATGCACGGCAAGGCACTCGACATTTCCACACCAAGCCGACTGTATGTGTGCTTCTCCCATTTGCGTACAGCCTGGAACCTGACTAACCTAGTTTCATTAATTACGACAGGAAGTCAATTTGTTTCCTATCATCGAGCTTCCAATAAACCGACCGGATAAAGATTCTAGAAACACATGGAATCGTTATTGAATAGGGAAACATGCTTCCTTTCTGGAGACTCTGGACATGATAAGGCAGGGACAGAAACCTGGGATGATTCTACACTAGCCGCGTGTACTGTGATAACACAGGATAGTCTCCATGGTTGGTGTTTTGGCTTGTTACCTTCGCCAAGTAGAGTGGATGGGTTTGTGGGCAGCAATAACTCGACAGGCTGTGAATGGAGCTTTATGATACACTTTGTGGGTAGGTGTCGGCATGATAAAGATCAAATAAATATACGATTATGAAATCCCTAGCGGCTGTCTATGGTACTGCAATATAATTATAACTTCCGGTATATTATATATTTAAAGGAAACGCTATGGTCACAGTTTTGGGGCGTTAGACAGTTCTTGCTAACGCGCTGTTTCACTGATCGGGGTCTGATCAAGTTCTGACCATGTGATAACTGAATAAGCCGAACTCGTAGCCTACTACTACTTTTACTAGCTAACAAAGCACAACATTTGAAAAAAAAGATACAGCTGACTCATTTCAAATTTAATTCGTGTAATATTTCTGATGCAATTGTGCCTTGATGTGCACTTTCTGGATAGTGTGACCTGTGTGTGTGTGTGTTTGGGGGGGGGCAGCTGGCGATTGACTGAAGGATGGATGCGTCCGTCTGTAAAATAGCAGAAACCCAGTGAGGGAGATTTTATCTCTCACAGACAGAGCTCTCAGTGTTCCCAAACTATCTCCCCGGCATCGCACAGCTGTATTGTGCTGCCTAACATGGGTGGGGCTGAAATTCATCCTTGCTCAGAAGAATGGTCAGCAGGAATGCTTTTAGGTGGAACTGGGGTCAAGTTAATCCGGTTGCCATGGAGTCCTCCTGGTGCCGATGGTGATATCATCAGGACGCTGGCTTCCTCCTCTAGTCCACTTCAACCCTCGGGTCTTTTGGCTAGCGAGTCATTCAACCAATTGCAAGCAGTTTAACAAAAATGGGATGCCAGTTTCTGCGACCATGTTTCCCACACGTCGACCTTCACCCTGAGGTGTCCACACTTTTCCACATGTTTCCAAACCGAGCCGATTGAACGAGCACGTGGGGTAGAGTTACGACAGTAACCACAAACTACTAAAGGTGATACTGATACCCTTGTTCACGGTGGTGGACAGTGGACACCGTAACGTTGGGCGATCCAAAATTTGTCAGATCTCTCAGCGGTCGCTCAATAATCTATTGATGATCGCTATTGTCACCATCAGATTTGAACTTGGCACAACAAATTTGAAATAGTCAGAGCGTTTCCACAGAAACAACATTTCAGGCGTTTTGGCAACCGCTGAGCCACCGCAAGCCTACCCCGAATGTCTTGGATGAGTAGGGACGATAATGGCACGAGTTGCGCGACCAGGAGACTCTGCCATACGACACTTTGGTAAAGTTCGGTCAGCCAGGGGTGACCACACAATAATAACAGGTGCTGTTTTCAGAGTTCTTGACCGCAAGTTGATGAACTGAGACAGGTTCATGTAACATTTCTGTTTCAAACTGCTCATCTCCTCTTACAAACCTGAGAAAGGTGTCACGGGTCTGCGGTCTACATCTATTAATAATCCATGTCTACTTGGAGGTTAAAGTCTTACGAATTAGCTTGTTTCTTACCATCTCTTCAGCTTATTCAAACCAGTTAATATATCTTTAATACTTGAACTACATGTATACAGGATACATATACATATGTATTACTTGTAGCGAATATTTCGATTACAATAACATTCATTGCTACAGATAATTTACGTTATAGAGTCCAAGATAGAGGTGGAAGCTATATGGTTCTTCAACAAGATACCATGTTTATAAACATAGGATTTCTACTGCCACTCAACATCACGTCCACCTTCTGTTCCTCTTGTGTTCTAGGAAGCAGGGAAACAGCCTTCCTGCACGCCATCGTGTCTGCGGGCGTGGCGTACGGCGTGGCCCGGGCCTGCAGCACCGGGGAGCTGCAGGAGTGCAGCTGCAGCAAGGCCAAGAACAAACCGCCTCCGGGCGCCGAGTCGGGCGGCGGGGAGTGGGAGTGGGGAGGGTGTTCTCACAACATCAGATACGGGGACACCATGTCCAAGGAGTTTATGGACGCTAATGAAGTGGCCGCAGACGATACTGGACTAATGAACCTACACAACAATGAAGCAGGGAGAAAGGCAAGGCCATCCGTTACACTGCCTGTGACATTCTCGTAGTTGAGTCAGTAGAACTACGGGACTATGAGCAAGACTGCATTCTTTGCCACGTGTTTACGAAATAAATATAGATTTCTTTGTAACCAAGAAGTCGTTTCAGGTCAGGGACACATCCCGATTACATGTTTGTCACCATCGGGATGGTGTCAAAAATTCTATAAGGCCCTAAACTCTTCCAAGAGACACTTCCCTTTTTAATGGTGACATTTAGTTTCAACCCTATCATTAAGAGCGATTGTTTGTTTTACAGGCAATCAAGACCCACATGAAGGTCACTTGCAAGTGTCACGGCGTGTCCGGCTCCTGCGCCACCATGGTCTGCTGGGAGTCCATGCCGAGTTTTCGGAAAGTCGGAGACATTATCATGGCAAAGTACCACGGAGCTACGTACGTCAAGATCAACAAAAAGGGATCCAGATTACGCCAGAGAAACAAAAGACACAAACGTCCAACAGCAGAGGACGTGGTGTATCTGGATGATTCTCCTGACTACTGCCAAGCCGACCTAGCGAAGGGGTCGTACGGAACGCAGGGGCGGAGGTGTAATAGAACAAGTGCGGGGGTAGACGGCTGCCAGTTGCTGTGTTGTAACAGAGACTTCGTGTCAAGAGAGGAGACCACAGAAGAGAGTTGCAACTGCAAATTCAAATGGTGCTGCGAGGTCACGTGTAAGAAATGCAAGAAGAAAGAGCTGGTCAACTACTGTAAATAAACTCAAGAAGCCTTCTTGAGTCGAGCGACTTGGAGTTCAACAAGATTTAAGCAACAGCATTGCAAATTGTGGATGTGAAACAGTTCTGTACATTATACACGTCTTTATACTGAAGGTGTTGATTGAGTCAAGACCGCAACCACAGTTTAGCGATATGTGGGAACCATACCGAACACACATCAAATATGTAACGATATGTAATGTTTTAATGAATGAAGAATCTGTAATTATCCATGGAAAGTTTTTAACAGATAGAAAGGCACTTCAATGTCGTGTAGCAACTGCTATGCATGTAATTATTCCAAAGAACGGAACTGAGCATTAAGAATTAGTAAACGCTGCAAGGTAGCTAGAGATACGAAAATACACATTTTGTGGGATGGGTGTACAGTTCAGGACTTGGGGCATGATTTAGTGGGGATTCTACAAACCAAGGACTAGATCGAACCTGTGATGATTTGCTTTGTTGATAGAATAAAACAAAAACGAGGTATTGCCTTTCTCTCTCAACAGCAATGGACTAGATATGCACTGATTCACAAGTTATAATTATTTCAAATACATGATATGAAAAGACAAAAGGTCTTCAATATCAAGAGTTACTTTCTTTGTACTTGTTGAAGTCACCTTTGAGTGGCCTGTACCAATGGTTCTGTTTTAGCATGCTGTGTTATTCCTGGCAATCTTGGGTCATTTCCTTCAGTTTTCCTTCATTAATTTAGCCTTGTCCAATATACAGGTGGGCCTCAGCATCTAGACCATCAAGATCACCTAATTCCATTGGCATGACTATTATGTGCTGCAGTGTGGAGCTGGATATACAGTAACAGTCTGATATTGTCCAGTCTGATATTGTCCAGTATATTTCCTCAACTTTTTTGTTTTATTTTGATCCCTATTTTTCCTGTTTTCAATTAATGTGTATTTATTAGAGTGCTATGGGCAGAACTGGAACGAACTACTGAACTACTGTAACAGGAGACTGCAACAGATCAACACACTCTGTCATCACCAGGCCAAAGAATTTCTTCAAAATATTCAACACTCACAAGACTTGCTTACAAAGCACAACCACTGCTTCTGATTTTGGACACTCAAGAGTTTTTTTTTCTGTAGAAGTTGTAATTGCAATTAATGTTTGGCTGGGATTAAGGGGTAGATTATGTAGCTGTAACTTTATCAAGATTTACCGATTCACTGATCAGAAAAATTATTACAATCCATCAATAACTTCTCCACTGCTCCTGCTCTACTTTCCAAGCAGAGGTTTGGGCTTTGACTTATTTTTGGCATGTTTCCAGGTTTCCTTATCAGGCTTTTTTTGTACTGGTATCCCTGTGGCAGCCCCAAAAAAGATAGCAGTACAAAAAAAAAGCCTGAATAAAAAAAAAAAACACAAAAAATAAGCCAAAGCCCAAAATAAACCTCTGCTTGGAGAGTACTCCTGCTCATAAATCATAAATCCACAACGAAAACAATGGCACAAAAATGTATCCACCCTGGTGGTCAGGTAAGTATGTCATTGTTTATAACTAAAAGGTTAATTAGCCACATACAGAATAAGGCTGAACTAGTCTGTTTGGACAACATGAGGACCAACTGATACTTGCTTAGACAAAGCAGCCAACATTCCTGAGGGTAGGATTTTGTGTATCTGTTCACTGCCAAGGTCGGCCAGGAGACTCCCCAGAAGCGGCAGCCCAGATGTCTGCATCTGACGGCGCTTCATACATTGTGTAAGTTACAAGGTGTAGATTAGAATAGGTCTAGTCCTCTGGATCAACAAAGATGACCAGACCAATGAAATTGTTTGGAATATTGCCCCCCCCCCCCACGTTGTTATTTCATGGAACAACCATTAATTGAAATACCAGTACTCCTTTAATAAATAGGTCAGCATTGAAGTTCATCTGTGTTGATAGTTAACATAGTACAGAACTAAAACCTTGTTCTGACACAAAACAATTAAAATTTTTACTGTCCTACCGCAGCAGCTGAAACGGGAAACATACAGTTCTAAAGGTTATATTAAACATTGCCATAGATGGAAACTAGTTCCAGTTATCATCAATGAACATGCTAAACAAAATTAATATGCACATGGACATTGCATGGCAAAATGTTCTCCTTGATTTTTGAAAAATTATGAAGCTCAAAGCATTTAATCATCATCATCATTGAAGCAATTAATAACTGATTAATAACAAAATGAGGAACAATTGTACATAGCAGAACTGATAATGCACAGTTATTGCACACCGAGTAGTAAATACATCTTGCCCTCATTTCCACTTGCTAATACCATGGAACCTCGTTGCTAAAACCGGGTGTGCTTGTCACTGACATGTACATGTAATGTATGTATCACAATCTACAATCACAAAATCTGGCCCCATTCCTAGAAGTGCTTTACAGGCTATTCCTGAATGCCTCTGCTAATCCACCCTCTTTGCACCAGATTGATAGTGACCCGGGAAGGAGATGGCGGCAGCCGCCCTCCATAATCAGAAACCTCATCGACAGGGGATTTCTGGATATCAGTGGGGTGATAGCATATATGCCTTCACATCTGTGGAGCTAAAACATTTCATGGGCACCTAAAGAAAGGTACCCCACATTCATCACAATTCTGGTCAGTTGGGAGCTACTTGTAGATCCTTGGATATCTGCAGTATCCCACTCCTGTGATTAGAGGGCCCTCCTCCATCATTGGACTCAATGAATGATGATGAAAATTATTGTACATTTATGCTCTTTCAAGCTAAGTACAGGTCATGTGTAAAGCACTAATAGTATACAAAAATTAAGGAGATATCTCACTATACATAAGAAGATGTACTATAACCTGTACCTACTGGTTCGACTACTATGTACAGTTTCAGTTTCTCCCTTCTAAGACAATTGCAGATGTATGAACGGTGTAGCTTATAAAACATGGTTTGTCTAATTCCATAATGAACAAAAATTTATATGTTCTACCTAAATTTAGAAAACTGGGAAACTTATTGTGTTAGTTAGTCAGTATATAAATTAGGGAGACAGTTCAGTTCAAGGAGACAAAAGCTCTTAACAATAGGCTAAACAGAGAATGAGATGAAATTCAAAAGATTAGGGAAGATGCAACCTGTAACATTCTTGAATGGACCAACCCTGAAAACTGCATCTGGTGGGTCCTGAGAAGTGAGTACTTGTAGCCGGACTGTACATTTTTGTAATACTGATATGACAACCACAGTCCGACACAGCTGACTGCAGCCTGTCAGTGGGCACGTGGGACATCCAGGAAGCTGCTGAGGTCAAAGTCAGGCCTATTTACATTTTCCCAGGAAGGGCAAAATGCACCTTGTCAATCAATGGTGTGGTATACTGTTTAACATTTGTTATTCCTTTCTAGATCCCAGTATTCTTACTAAGGCATGAAGCGGCATCTCATGGCTGATAGGTGACCAGTTAAAATGCACAATACTGTCAATAGCTACAAATGTTAAAATCCATAAAAGTTGAGGAAATCTACAAATACATGTACATGGAATGATCAAGCACCTTTCAGTATGATGACTATGTGGCTGACTCACATTGAATTCTCCAAGCTTCCCCACCAATGCAGACTCGTGTTTAGAGCGTATTTTTTTGTTATTATTGGCTTAGGTGCCAATTTACCAAGTAAACAACACATGGTGGCAATTTGAGGCCATAGTCAGTGTACAAACATTATGTTTTATTCATGATCATTACACAAACAATGATAGTAGGCTGGTGAGGGTAGGGTAATCCCATAGCAACACGTGACCTGTCATACAACACATATGACAGGGGCTTTACATGTTTCAAGGGAATAGAAGGCCTTGCATGTTTGAAATATTGCTTCTACCTCTCTTAAATGTACGGCAGTTGATGCTGCATAATTGGGATAAAATCATAGACACAGACTGGTATGACAAGTGACTGAGATTTTAGACTTTCATGACTAAGAGAAGTCCTGTATAGGACGCCCAGTCAAATTTTGAAAGATATGAAAAATACCACTTGCTAATACTTGTGGTTTTTCATCTTTGCTTCGATTAATCAATTTTCTGTTGATTTTGTTTGCATGTCAAATCCTTCATATCACCCACTGAAAGGTCAGATCCTATAGTTAAAGGGTGAATGTCAATCATGATCAGGTTCATTTCCAGATTATAAGCCCTGGCAGCTGTTTAACTTCTTAAAGGCTTCAACTTTGTAGGACCCTATTATTTTGAGATGGGAGGGACTTCTAGCCAGGAAAGTTTGGGAATAACAGTGTTGATGTCAAGTGGCCAATTAACGAGGCTTTCATTGCATCAATTTGTGAGGAAGGATTGAACCAGCTTGCCCTGGTTTAAGTCCACGGGGTGTCTGGCAAGCCTCAAGCCCGGCGGTGTACAATGGAAAGTGTCAGCACCATGCCTACTCACAGAGACTTGTGTTCATTGTCAGAAAACACGTCCTACAAGAAACAACAAAGTGTCAATTGCTGAGTGGCACAAAGGTTTTGCTACCACTTAAACCCTCCTAGGCTGTCGAAAGACCAACTCACTCCGCAAAGACGTCGTCTCATTGCTGGCCGAAGCATTTCAAGTACCGACCCTTTTCACCACCCTTTATATATGTGCAAAATTTCAGAAAGGCTCAACAATGGAGGATTTCTGCTGTATTTGTATGAGCAAGAGTTCTGTTACCAATAAGTGATGACTTTCATAGCTGGCTTTGTTCAAACCAACAGTGCTTCAAAGAAAAGCTAGCGGTGGTGAGACATGGGAAGGTAAGAGTAGCTCAAGGAAAAGCAAGAGGAAATCACTCTAACACTCTAATGCCTGAGATACTGTAAACGCCATGTGACCATGAATAAACATACTGACTTGTTCAAAGTTATCATAAATGGTTTTAAAAATTGCTCCTTCTTTGATATGAAAATTAATAATGCAATTGTTGGCAAAAAATAAGCAATTTGTTACCTGAGCACTTGATGTGTGTTACCTCTACGACTTCAACAGACTGTAAATCTACTTTTTACATAAAAGAAAGCTGGACCTTTATTACTGAGAATAACTATGATGTACAACTAACATACATCTATTTGTTAAAACCTTGCATTTTTGTTGGTCTGGGTGTTTAACAAAGATCAATCAATGAACATTTTATATGTCATGACCACACAGGCCTGTACTTCCATTCAGGAGCAGACAATGAACTCCTCCCATGAACATCCACACAAAAGACAGAACCCTGGGTGTGGGAACCTACCTCTATACTCCTGTAAAATGAATGTTGTTGAAAGAGTGGTTTGCTGCATGAGAGGACAGCTTCTGTCTGAAATGTCTACAAATAAACAGACAAACATATTTCACAAAGGAACTACTCCACATTGGGAACAGTAACTATACAAGCACAAAATGACATTCCCCACAACCATGCTCCCTGAAGCCACCACTTCAAATCCTCTGTGGGCTCAACATAGACATAATGAAAGAGGGAGAGAAGGGCAAGGGGAGATTAGGCAGGAGACAATAGCTCATGGCTTGGGACTAGTACGTGTAGACCACCTGACATTCTCCTCAATCGGTCATACAAAGAGCAAAACAAACAACTTGTGCTGAAGTGACCGCACACAGTCAGGTAGTGAGATAAATTTTGAAGATGATAATAATGTAGCTGATTGCTGTATTGTCAGTGTAAGTATACTACACATGTATTAGCTTTTCAGGTATTGAAATATGCAATTTTCTGCATAGGTTTGACAATTTTATGAAGTATACTCAATGTGACACATCTTTTTGATGAAGATCTAAAGTTTTGTTACTCTTATAGATGATTTTATGCCCAGGTAAACATTAAGATTGACTTGAATCTGACCTTTCCCCTGACCCACATTCAAGGCAAGGCTTGCCTCCTATTGCACGTATGTGGGTGAGGAACATTTATGATGGCAGACTGAGGCAGCAGATCCACAAGGTAAACTGTTGGTGTCCTGTTCTGCTGAGGGGTCCTGGCTAACTTTCATCACAAGTCATTCCCAGCTTAACTCAGGCAGGGGATACTGCTGGGACTCTCCCCTGACACAACACAGGTCCCACATGACACAAGAACACTTCAGGTCTGCAGAGGGTTCAACATGAAGGGTGCTCTACTGACTCACGGGTGGCAATTTGTACAACTGTCATCCAAGAAATGTGTCTTTGCTATAAAGTAGTACTAAATATTATTGCTCTTATTAACTCATTTTGAGCTTCTGTGCATGGGTATAGAATTTCTAAACTGCACTTTGTGACATATATAGGCATGATACTTGTCACTATCAAATACACTGGTACATATGTGCCTTCACCAAAAACTACTTTGTGATATCTTGCTTTGTCTACTTTCTTCTGAACAAACCATCATGGAAAACAGCCCTTAACGCTACGTCTATTTCAGTTTCTGGCTATTGGTGACATGGTCACATTTATAGATGGAACCAGCATAGAGGTCCCAGCAACATTTGATTCCAAATTCAAGAAGGTAGAGCAATGATACAGCATTACGCTTAAGTTAACTTTACACAAAATCCAGGCAACTATGTTGAATGAATCAAAATGGCTGATTGTGCTCTACAGAAAAGACATGCTGGTCCCATTAGACATCAACTTCAAGTCGTTCCTTGATGAGAAACAGCAAGTTTCAGGGCAGCAGTCTGCATGCATGAGCAGTGCACAGTGATCCACCCTGACATCTCCCTTGTGTGTGAAACTGTGCACATGGCTGACATGGGTAAACTTTCCCATGGGGCGAGAGACAGAGCGATTAACGGCCTGCACCTGACCTGCCACCTGTGCCACAGGAACGACAAACACAGCTATGACAAAAGCCAAGCAGCAAGGAGAGCCAGTAACCTTGAGACACGACCACTGAATTCCTCCAGTGGGCCACAGACAGATGTATGGTCCATGTGACGTGCGTGTTACTGAAAGAAAAAGATTTAAAACTGCATATGTTTAGGCTGGCCTATATTGTATGTGACAGTCTATCAGTACTCCCTCAGCTCTTTGCTTGGTCAGGAGTCACAATAAATAATAGGCTGCAATACTTATGAAAGCTGCTGGGGAGACAGACATTTAATGACTACATTCTGACACCTCAAAATGATTACAGTGCAATCTGTTTTAACCTAACAAAAAATAGTCTAATAACTTAACTGGCAACTATATATCACAAGCAGAGCATCAACATAACATCTTTTGTCATGTTTTCCTGTTATTTAGGTTCACACACATGTATTTATCATTTGATGCATTATTGGTATAGTTATGGTGATTAAACTTCTTATCACTGAGTCATGACCAATATATTTACTCTTGTGCATAGATTAACAACTGGGAGACTGGGGGAGGGAAAGGTGTAAAATCAGTGAATTGAACTGACTCTAAGACAAGAGGTCAATCTTTTTTATACCAGTATGTTGCCTTTAAGGAATTATAAATGGTTTAAAACTTTAAAAGCAATCTAAAATGTCTAACATTGGCAAAAAGCAGCTGTAAGTTTGGTGGTTTGTTTCTTCAGTCCTGACACTGCTGGAGAGTTGCCGATCCCCTGATACTACACAGAACCTGGGACGATGATTGTGTGTGACATGTCATCAACTCAAACTGGGAGGCTCAGCAACTTCTCAGGTTGGTTCATGTAAGGTTCAAGTTGGTGTCAAAACCCTTCATCTGTTTTGAGGGTACATACTGAACATTTGGGCGAGTGCACGCGCAAGACAGAAAGAGAGAGAGACAGACAGACAGAGAAAGTACCAGTAATGGACAGAGTGTACTCAAAAGATTGTACCTTCACTGTTGGTATTGGACAGCAAACCTTGACATACACATCTAAGGAAGGGCCACACTTGCTCACCAACCAAGAAATCAGCCAGGCATCCAAGTAAGCAAGCAATCAACCAACTCGACCCATTCCATCTCAACCCATCCCATCCCAACCAAACTCCTACCACCAACCAACCTTTACATACTAACTCACCCACTAAATGCCAACCCAATGTCCTCTGGGCCTACATATAATATTGCAAGCTGCAAATTTTTATCATTACATAGAATATGAGATTCTGTAAAATACTACACAAGAAACAGGGATATTTCCATATATTATTTATTAGTAGATGACGTTCTGCTCTAAATAAATTTTGTACCTTTACTATATGATACACACATCATACATGATACCATAATAGGCATTAAGCCTTGTATGTTTTCCATATGCAAAATCATAACCTTCTGCATCTTTATCGACCATCTATGTTTCTTTCCTCGAAACTCTTCATTGCAGGCAGGTGGTCAATATACACTGACAAGCACTGTTCTCTCTTTTGCATACATTAAACTACTATCCAACCAACAATCATATACTTACTTATTCCTTTCTTCATCTGTATTTGGCAACATTGCAAAGTTGAAGCTGATGTTACATTTACACTGGAAGTGTTTATAGATAAGATGTGTGGAAAAGATTTAACAAATTTTACCCTAAGCCCAGGCAATCCTACTGGACCCATAATGCAGTGCAGAGGTCATCTGGGTTTGGGGAACAGCCTGATGAAGAGGATCATGAAGAGGAAGATGATACAGACGATGGACAGCATGGTCCACATGGTCCAGTTACACGACCGTTTCACATGCTGTTCTAGCCTGTCTGTCTCCACCTTCAGACGATCATAGTTCCCCTCCGCTAACTTGGATGATTTCTCCAATACCTACGGCGGAGAACAAAATGTATGCTTGAACCAAGGAGGCTTTTTAAACCTCCTTGCTTGAACAAAATCTACCAGCTAACTGAGCAGTGCATCAAAAAAATACTAGCTTCCTTCGTGACAACAGGGCCCCATACCCACCTTGGTGTCCTCCCTGATGATGTTCTGTGCAGCCAGCTGGTTGTGCTTCAGACTCCTGGCTAGTGTCAGCATCTCCTCTGCTATCTTGGCCTGCATGTCCTGGTGTCTCTGTAACACGGTGTCCAGGTCCTCTTCTGGCTCCTCCCCTCCCCTACAGGAGGCAGACCATCGCCAAGTCATTCAGGACAGGGGGGGTTTAAGGGTACCACTGTAACACCTACTTTGATGGAAAAATGGCTTTCATAGAGTTTTGTCTGACTGATGGGGCTTTTAATACTTGACATTTTCAATCATGTGTAATTCATTAACCATGAAATTGGCAATTTTGCGATAATGTGCAAAGTGCAGCATAGTCTGCCCTCCAAAAATTCAGTCTAAGTTTGCTGCCTGGCCCTGGGCTCTTTCTCATGGAATGCTGGGCAGAGATCCTTGGTGGAAAAGGGACTAAAGACCCTAGCAAGATTTTACAGTGCCCCCTATCCAACACACCTAGAACTACAAGTAATACTCATACATGTGTATCAGATTCCCAACCAAATATAACCCATTACTTAATATTCCAATAGCACCATGCCATGGTAAGTGATCATAGCAGACAGGTGGTCACTACAGAGAGGTCTTACCATGGTTAAGCTAAGGACCACCAAAAAGTGGTCTCAATGCATGGCCTGGTGGTCCTTATGTGGTTACAAATACACATTAACTGGAATTGTGCAATGGGAGGTGTATATCTCAAAGAAACGATTTCCCATGAGACAGTTTATTAAAGAGCTACATTGAAGCTTTTCGATGTCTTTACAGAATCCCTTACACTTAGAGTTTCTTTTAAAAATGGGCTGCTCACCTGCTCCACCTTGAACCTGATGCATCTGGTGTATCTGACATGAGAGCAGAAGAGGAACATTAGTCTGTGGACAGCTGCATAGTCATTCAGTATGGTGCAAAACACACAACAGTATAGTAAAAATGGTGAACACATTATATACATTTGTAAACTGTAAATCCTTTAACCAAGTAACAGGAATTGTATAAAAGGAACATGGAAATGAAAGAAAAAACTTACCGCTTTTGTTGTCACTTTCTGTCTGCAGAAAATAAAAACAAATGTTGCAGGTTAAAAAAACAATGCACCAAGCAGCTACATCTAGCTATTTCATTGAAGAATCAGCACACAAAAAGACAATGTGTAAACCTGTACCTTGTGCATGTGAGACAGGCTAGGGATGGACAATTGCCCAACACACACCCCTGCTTCACTATGTAACTGCCCTTACCTTCCCCAGAAGTTCTTCCCTCATGTCCTTCTGGTAGCGAGATCTGGCCCTGGCGTGGAGCTCTCGAGCCTTCCTATTGGACAGCTGTGAGGAGGCGGGGCTGTAGTGCTCCAGGCAGGGCTGGCCTGGCTTCATCAGCTCTGTGGCCAGGACTCGTTCACTAGGAGATTCCTGGGGGGCAGTGCAATTTTTCACTCAGTCATAATTCTGACCTGGATTTAGTTTCGTTTTTCTGCCATGTTACCAAGAATATCTCAACACTCAAATACTGTGCCTGCAAAAATGGTAAAATCTAAGCTGACTGAATGAAATTGTTTACAGAAAAAAGGGGCTATGATATATTATCCTGGTGATGGAAGAGCTTGGATGGAATGTGCAATTTTCATACTTACTAATTTCTCTGCCTCAATATACTTCTTTAAAAACTCCACTTTCTTGTTGTACTCTTTCAGGATGTCTGTGGCAGGTTTCCTGCAGGAAAAATATTGTTATATCAAGGAGGTTAAATACAAGATTTTAACTCCATGGTTTATATATTGAGAAAAGTCACATCACTTGAGAAACAAGACAGTCTATCATCACCATATGTGCATCATTTCCGTTGTACTTCAAATCAATACACGGTAATAGAAAAGGCTGTTAATAGTTACCCTGGACTTGGTAGATTGTTCAGCTCACTGAGTTGTCCTTGAAGTGCTTCTACATACTGCAAAACGACACAAAAAGGTTTTCTTTAGCATCATGCCACCTCATTGATGATTCACGCCCCCCTCCCCTCCACATATTTTGAGCTACGTATAAATATGCAAAATGCAGATGAGCGATAAACTAAATAAGATCACACTTTCGACAGCTGGCCTACCTTTTCTAATCGCCAGTCACCAGCCCTCCTTTCTGCTGCCATTTCTTCACAGCGACCTAAAAGTCGACGAAAGTTGATTTCCAATCTCGAAACCGCCATGTTGGCACTGACGTCACGTTCACCTCTGACCTTTGCAGACCTTTGCTCTCTTTATTTTTTCTAAGGAGGGCGATGGCATGTACATGTAAAGTATTTGGCGTACTAAAAGCTAAATGATACAACATTTAACAATTTTCTTGTCAGATACAAATACTCAGTATCTTATTTTCGACCAGCTGTACCTATGATTAACTTAATACGTGCGTATATCTTGATTAACATGTAAAAGAACATGGGTGTTTTGCTGCCCTACAAAGTAAGCAGCGTCCGGTCGCCTGGCAACAGCCTTCCGCCAACAAAAGGAAAACAAAACACGATTCCAAACACGTTTTGGAGCCATTTTCTCATTTTCCCAGGGATTTAACCAAGCCTGTCCGGAAAAGGGTGAGTAGCCGCTGGTTACATGGCGTAAAATGAAGTTATACTATGTGTGGGTTATCGTTAATTGGATTTGTCTGGGGGAAACAGCAACAAGTGCTCTTGGCGTGCGGAGAGAGACCTTGTTCCCGCCGTAAACCCCACTTCACTGCCAAGAATGATTAGTATAAACTAGCGACTTAATAATTCATTGTGCCCTTCTTGTGTTATTGTCAGATGAACCAAACACAGATGAAGCTACATTGTGCAATGATTTGCGTGTTTCAAAATATTAAATCACTGCCAGGTCAAGCCCCACCTATGCAAGGAGTTTCTATGTCAAATAATGCAGTAATACCGGGACCGGCGGTCTTGACTTTTCCATATAGCAAAGAACGTCAATTAAAAGCCATATGAAGCTACTAAGTAAACTATTTTCATGACATTTTCAGTGCTTTTGCATATAAAATCCAGTATTGAAATAATGAAAGGTTGCTCTCGCTCTGCTTTGAGTCCGTTTGTGCCGACATCGAATTATGCGGCGAAACCGATATCATCGAGAGTCTAAAACATTTTTAAGCAAATTTTAAGTAAATTCTACAGAGCGAAAGTGATAACGACAAATGAAGAGTGTCGAGTGAGTCTGAAACGTCTTAAATCACTTAAATCATAAGAAAAACATCGTTCGTTAGATTGAGAAAATTCCTATTTTCAACTGGCCGGGTGCCGAGGTTCTCCAAGTTATGTTAGTTGCTGGGGAGATGTGCAAAGCATGTCATTGTTTTCACAAGTTAACCATTTCAGTATTTCGTTTTAATATATTTTCTTCTTCCTCTCATGTTGAACAACAGACAGAGTCGAGGACGCGCCATGACAGCTGTATCAAACCCCATCGTTGCTCCTCTGACGGGCATAGACTTCCTCGCCGCCTCTCACTTCAAGATCGCTCAGGAACCGTCCGCCACCCCCGATGCCCTTCACAGCGTCTTCAAGCACGACTACAAGGCTCCGTACCAATGGCGGAGACAGAGCGCCTCCGAGCCGCCCAGACCCGCCCAGTTCATGCACGCGGACACCGGCAAGATCGGGGTGAAAATCTCCGAGACTCGCCAGGCCTTTCCGGAAAAGAGGTCGGAGAAGAT